CGATTGCCACCAGGCACAGAACAGATGTGCCTGTTGCTTTTCCGAAAGAGACTTTGGATGTACCACCATCTCTCACTTCAGACTTAGATGAGCCTGGTGGTTGATAGGTAGGAACCAAGCATTTTCTGGTACCGCCGTGCTATTCATGAATTTCTATTGACAACTGGTAGACAATTTTGCACGACAACACTGGCGAGTGAACTGTGGCATGCTGAGATTTACACTTATGTACTTATGATCATGTTTGAACCCGTATTTTTCGAGATTTGGACTTGACCCCCTGTAATTCTGTTGCGTTGTCAGACGGGAGTACAGTTTTACCTACCACTAGTTTATAATTTATTCTTCCGGATCATCTTTTGTATCTTCTCACGTATGCCATATCCAGTTTGTGAAACTACGTTGGCGCAGGAACGTTGGACGAAATACGCAACGAAGTCAATCATTAGGTTCAAACAAATGATTGAAAACGGTATGAGAACTAAATGAGTTCAGCGCATTATGTTGGCTTATGGTACTTCCGTTGTGTTTTAAATGGCATGCCAACTCCTCCGTTTGGCCACTACACAATCGGAAAAAAGAATAAAATGTAATTTTCGTTCATTTAATACTACTCCGTTCTGCGTATTACATCGTTATCTTTTGCGGTGAAGATCAGGGACTCTGTTCTCATGAATTCATTATCAAGAAGGCTACTGAGTTAAAGGCGACAGTAGTGATCAGTCGGAGTGTAGCTCTGTACCTTAGGTCCACCCTAATTGTTTCGTGAGCCTATGAATTTCACTGATCGGATGGAACGACTCATGCTCCTCCAGTTGTCTGTTGTGGTAAGCAGTTCAACGTAATGTTAGTATATAGGAGCCCGGACAGCTCTTCCAGTGATCTCATTGAATTCATTCATAGTCACTCGGCCAATGCGGGCCTTGTTATGTAGGACGTTAACCTCCCTTTACGCATCCATAGCTACGAGAGAGCTAGCTACTGATTTTCTTGACCTTACGTTGCAGGCGCCAGTTCGTAGAACAGCCTACCAGGTTTATGGAAGGATGGACCCCTTCCCTCCTAAATCTTGCTTTTACTAAGTCCGTAAACTTTGTTAAACGCCTAACTTACGAACCGCCTCTTGGAACTAGTGACCACGTTTATGTTGTGTTCAAATGTGCGCTTTTTCGAGATCATGCGGAAGATAACACTGGAAATCCGAATATATGACGAGCAAACTTATTTGCAATCAGAACTAAGTTCGACGCTTCGTACTGCGTTACTTCAACAGATGACGATGTTCAGACCGCGTGGCAGTCGGCCGGTGGCCGAGTTGTCTGCTCGCCTGATTTGCAACCATAAGGTCACCGGTTCTAATCCGCGTAAGAGTGAACGTCTTCGCTGTATACTAAGCCTACGCGCGACTGGTAGTGCTCGCATGGCAGCGAAGGGTGTACAGCTGGCGACCGAGTGGGGTCGTTTTAACTCTTCCCTTTCTGAGATGTCATGTCCCTATGTACCAACTTTTGTGAAGAAGACTCGTAAGGTGAAGCCCCAGTTCAATAGTTCAATAGTGTATGGTGGGATAAAAAGCAATAACTTTGCAAAACCCACAGGATGGCAAATGGAAGAAAACAAAAGTTTCAGGTGTGACACAAAAATATCAGTAAGTTAGACACTGCAGTTTGTCATACCGTTATATAATGTGTATCATGTAAGTGCAAGTCCAATAATCTTTCGAATGTCTCGATGTTTGGTGCGTTTACCACATGCGATGGCAGTGCGTTCCAGTGCGGACAGACACTAAGAGAGTAAAAATCTTTCTACAATCTAAACGGGAATATTCAGTCACAAGTTTTAGTGCATGGCCTCGGCATCGTTTGTCGGCAGATAATGTTAACAGCGACTTACATGGATGGTCCTCTTCTCTTAGTATCCGGTAAGTGAGGATCAGATCACCGGAGAATTTTCAACTGGCTTGGCATCACAGTTGTCTATCGCTAATGGTGCTTGTTTTTCGCCGGAACGTGTAACATTTTTAATGGATAACTTTGGTCTTTTGGTAGGTCTGGGGTTAGGGCTACTTAATACACTAAGCTGCAACTCGAGTCCAGCGATTTTCCCTCCCAAAGCCTTGACCAATTCTTTCTGTTCGGATGACGCAACAGCCAACATTTCACACCTCGCGTTGAGAGTTCGGATAATCTTGGCTATTGGGCTATCTGAACACGCATCACAGAACCACAAACTATTTGTTATTACGCTGCGGTTTCCGCCAAGTTCTGAGTTCACGTCCACTTCGTCGTAAGAATTTGCACACAAAGAGCACGTGATTTTTGTGATGACAGTTCTCCGCTTACTTGAGCCATGATTGACCTTCGTTATTTTGTTCACGCGTGGACCCGCTGATAAACTTCGCCTTCCCATGGCTTAGTGACTCGTATGCACTTTAAATCACGCCGGTCGCACCGTTGTGAGCTGCGTGAATTGACTAGTCCGGCTAGCGGTAACCGTCGCTGTCCGGGTTTGGTGATGATGGGTCCTGGAGCAAGCGTGTATGGAATCACAAACACTTCGTGTGGTAGGGTGCACGCAGGAATATAGATGAAAGGACAAAATAGCCAGTATCTATGGTGTATGGTGGCGCACAGTACTAAGCTATATGTCACCTGATAGCTTTAGAAAAGCTCTGTAGAATGGTTTCTTAAATTCACTGAGATTACCTTGAACAAACAAGCTTTCAAGCGTGGTTCTTAATGTACGAATTGCCGAAGACGCCGGTTGGGATGAAATAGCGAGACGGAGGACTTACTGCGCAATTACAAATCCCGTTTGCTAGAACTCGGCGAGCCGAAACGAATGGGCGTATTTCCGAGAACGTAGCACAAAAAGTGAACGGAATAATCCAGGATTACCACAGAGCACAGAATTATGCGACCGTCTGTGACCTTGTCATTGTTTCTGTTCCCTTGTTATTGTTTCCGTTCCGGACTCAACTGCACGCCAATTCGTGAGCAGGCGGACAAAGTGTTGACGGAATTATCAGTTGCTTTAGTTACTACCTTTCGACGCTATCGTGACTCACGTAATATATGCAAACAACACCTGCGTGCAGTCTGACTAAACTATGAGACTGAGTTATCCAACTTGGTCTCAACCAACCCAAAGTGACTCTTTGTTTCTATCAAAAGACACAGTAAATCCCGCCACGCTCTGCCAGTTTTCTTTAGTTCTGATGGCACTGCTGCTCACACTGATCGAGCCAAGGCCTGTCTGTTAGCGGATCGTTATGCGAGAACATTCGTTAGTTTGTCTCTACTACCACCTATTGAGTTAGGAAAAGCATTTCAGCAGATTACCTGCTGAAAGAAATGTTTATTTCGGAAGCCCAGGTGCTTCGACTTTTACAGCAGCTGAATCCGACCAAGACGGCTGAATTAAATGCTTTTCACCTCAAATTGTTGTACGAATTGGCAGCTGCACTGTATAGATCACTTATGCGACTCATTGAAGTCATTTCTTAGCTGTTCCTTACCAACTGATTGGAAGAAAGCTATCGTTTGTCTCATATTCAAAAAGAGAATAAGTACCTAACTGCAAACTACAGGCAGGTCAGCTTACTGTGCGTACTACTCAAACCATTAGATAAGTTAGTACGGGAGGCCGTTGTGACCCACTTACTGATGTTCGGCCTGCTCGGCTCGCCTTAACTCGGCTTTCACAAAGGCTACTCCTGTCTTATACATATGTTAAATGCTCGCGAACGCTGGGCTGCGACGGTAGATCAGATTAAAGTGGTTGACATACTGTTCATAGACCTCGCAAAACATTTGACACCGTCCTACATTCCGGTCTTCTTTAAAGAAATATGGCCTCTTTGGGCGTGCTCTGCGTTGGAGAACGGTATTCCTAGAAAAAAGGAGAAAGTGCGTTCGAGTCGGTTCGACCCTATATTTCCTACAATCAATACTCAGTGGTGTACCAAAGGCGCCTGTACTCGGCACTTTCCCGATCTGCTTTTAATATAGACGACCTCCCTAAGAAACCAGGGGTGTCATGTCTTTTGTTTACAGATGACCTGAAGTCCTGGGGTACAGTTATTGTTTCCGATGGCTGCCGGGTGCTACAGCATATACCGGATAAGCTCTGGGGATGGTCTGTCTACTGGAAGCTGCCAAGAAATCTCTCCAAATGCTCGGTTTAGCGCATTGGAATAGGTGGGCGGAACACGAGATACTTTTTAGATGGGAACTATACCACAAATTTCCGAGCAGGTTGACTTGGGATTTACACTTCTGTCGAACGTGAAGTTCAGTGAACACCGGACAACAGCCGCTTGTGAGGGTTTCAGGATGTTGTGGAAGATTCAGTGAGCATTCATAAACCTAACAAGTGAGGTATTTTCATGTTTGTATTCTGCCTTCATTAAACCTCATCCCGAATACTGTGTACAAGCAAGTTCTCCTTGCTTAATTCGGAACGAGATGGCAAAGGAATGTGTACTGAGCGTCGGAAATAAAATATTTCATGGGTTAAGACGCTTGTCATACCCTGAGCGATTGCTTAGTTTAAACTTTTCTTCGCCCTACTATCGACGCCGTCGGTGAGACCTGATCCTCAAGAATCACACATTGACGGGTCAACTAAGCGAGGATTTGTCTCCTTTTTTCCTATCAGCTACAATGCCTAACCTTCGTGGTCACCTAAGAAAGCTTCACAAACCTCTATCTGATCGGCTTAGAGCTGACACCCGGTTATCGGATACAGGAATCGACGATTGGAACACTCTGCCTGAAACGATGGTGTTGGCGCCTACTGTAAGAGAATTCAGATGTCGAATTGCTGCGCTTAGTTTGCAGCTACAATCCTTCTCCTTCACCTCTTAACCTCTATCCGAGTTTTTAGCCAAATTTTTTCCTATTGGTTCCTTCTGCCTAGTTTCCGCTCCCTAATACTTCTTCAGTATCATCCTTCTTCAGTTATATTTTGGTTCTTTGCTTTCTTTATATTTCCTTTAGTTTGTTCTACTTCATGTGACCGGTGCAGTGGGTACGACTAGTTCAGGACACGTGGGCATCGATTGCTTGACCATGGTGTGGTACGCGTGTGCCGATTTGACGCACTCGGATCGATTCATCGATCTCTAGCCTGGATCAGCGACACAAAAATGAAAAATGAAAATGAAATGTGTCAGCTTATACGCCGTAACGGCGCTTCGCTGCCGCGCGACCACCACCAGTCGCGCGCGGGCTGAGTATACCGCGAGGACGCCCACCCCTACGCGGATTCGAACCGGTGACCTTATGGTTGGAAAGCAAACGTGCCAACCACTCGGCCACCGGCCGACACGGTCACAATGGAACATTCACGGGATTTTCCTAGTGTTCCTGTCCCTTTTGCATTTGAATTTGAAATCTGTATTTTGAAAGGAACGTTAAACGTTTTGTTTCCTAATAGATCACATAACCAGTGTTCTTCTCGCTCTCTCTCTCTCTCTCTATATATATATATATATATATATGTGTGTGTGTGTGTGTGTGTGTGTGTCAATTGTCTGACTGAGCCCATGGGACTTACACACAACATGTTTAACATGGTGTGACACTCCAAAAAGATAAGTTCAGAAGTTTTCTGGGTTAATTTCCCTTCACGCCTAATATAGCCACCACGTGAGCCAGCATAGGTGTCCGTTTGTGTATGACCATTGACCGCATTGCACCTTCAAACGGCATGCTGCGATGCCGTTAAGATGACACTCCTTAGTTCCACATTTGCCACTGGTCCTCTTACCCTGCCTGTAGAAGGTGAGATATTTTCACGTTTACGGAGTATATAAAGCAGGACTGCATCCGTGTGGCTTAGAAACTTGGCTCGCTACGGCATATTCATTTAACCTTCAGTTGAAGCGGAGAACACTTCTTCGGCGCGGCTCCATCCTCCATTTCACTTCTAGTAGCCAGGGTATCTACCGTAGCTTTTGGTTAATATTTCACTTTGAGGAACCGACTGATGGAACGCCAGTTCCGTCATGCCTTATCTTTCACTGTATACTTAATAGAACATGTGACCAGTGCTTGGAGCAGTCTTTCGCTTTTTATGGCTGGTCCGGACGCATGCAACACTGGGTTATGTCAATATTCAAATAGTTGAGATTGCAAAGTGTGGATTGAGTAACTAAAAAAGGAAGGTGTCAAACTGCCTAAAGTGAGTGGGTTTTGTTTACGCGGAAGCTGCCAGAACGAAAACAAGTCACGGTGAAGCCAAATCTTTGACAAACTCTCTCTGCACACGCAACGTGGGGTTGTTGAAACGAATCGTTGTCACTTGCGCTATTGCAAGAATCCGGCAGTTGAAAAGTTTGCAATGGTCACCCGTCATGCTGTAGATCGGATGAAAGTCATTAGAGCTAACGACGGCGTTATTCGTTTAAACTAGCTGTGCAACCATTGCGGTGGCGCAGGCTTTCGTCAATCCTCGGCTAGCCACCTTTGCGGACACGTTCATGCAAACCTGTCGTGGTGCGACCTTTGTAAATTGTCCCCCAGAAACAGGTTAACTGGTACACACAAAGAGAGGTGACATCCGCAGCGATTTTCTCTTTCGGCTGAAGGTCTAGATGTGTGAAAGCGAAGATAAAGCGTAATTGTGTGGTCCCGTACGTGATAATGATAACCGCTCTTAATCGTTTGCTAAGAGGTTCAGTACTATTGTCTCCTTTGAATGGTATCAACAAGTAGACGTGTTCCTTTTTTACAGTAGGCACTTTGGCGACCACAAATTCACTTCGCATATTCCTAACACTGAAGTCCTTAGGATAGTTGTCATTATTATTACGTCTCGAGATGCTTCAATTGTGTCCACGGAGCAAATTTTCATCTTTTTCCTGACGATACACTAGACCAGGTTCTGTCGTCTTGAATTGGCACAACGCTATATTGACCCGTCTATTTCACTTGCCTGTGGATCCTGCGCTGCATCGAGCCATCTTGTCGGCTTGTCACTTGAACATCCTGGGAAGGCAGACCTGCATTTGCTAAGAGACGATCGATCCGTGCATTTAGATCCCCAGCAAGGAAAGCAAAATCAGCTTTACAAGCTTTGCTCAAGAGCTGGTGGAGTTCACGATAGGGATAATCCTTGACTGAGTCGCAACTGCAGCCAGGTGGAGCATAAGATGAGCTCGCAAACAGGTTGCGTCTCTTTTCACGACATCGGTTAAGCCTACATGATCCCCAAAGCCGAACTGCGCACAGTCGGCTATTAATCAGGAACCAGTCCAGCAGTCCAGCTTCGGCTTTGCTGCTTAGCGCTATACAAACTCCAGCCAAGCCTGTCGTAGCTGGTCCATTCAGTAAAGAGAGATGGACCTCCATCTTCAACAGCAGCCGGAGTCAATTCGTCAGAACAGGGAGATTTGTGATGTTTCAGAAGACGAAGCTCAAAGTCAACCTCGGCCTCAGATGATGGTGAGGTGCTTACGCATCACGGAATTTCGTGGATACGAGAATGTCAACTCTAGGGCAATGGGGGCTAGTTGAATTGCTATTCGAAGTGCTCTGCCCAACATACAAATCGGCGCTGGGGATTGTGAATGTGTTCACCGCTGGTGTCACATAGCACTTAGCTTACAGTTGGTTTCTTGTCACCAGTGGATCGGATAAAATAGCGGATTCTACTGAAGTTTCCTGAGGGTGTAGCGTGTTCCATCTCATTGACACGCTGCGTCTGCCAGGTTTCATAATCTTTCCTGATGATCACTTAGAGCCCGACGTTGGTAGCTCTGCGCAATGAGTTATATCCAACATCAGCAGGAATTGTCTTGCGGTCTTTCATCAGGTGAAGAGATCGAGCGAAAATCCATCAGTTGAAGTTGCGCTCAGTGAAACCGCCGATGACGCTGGCAGCCTTGTGTATCACAATCCGGATGTGTTTAATACGCCTCAACACCAAGGAGTAAAGGACTCTTCAGATTAGAAGCTGGCGAGTTCTGAAAAGCACTGAGAACATTTGGAGCGACCACTTAGGCTAGGTCGAGTTGTTCATGACGACGCTGTTGGGTGGCACCAAAGCGGAGGGCAAGTCTGGCGCACATAGATGCTTGCTCAGTGGTGAGTTAAATACTCCTAATTGATTTGCAATCCGTTATACAGCCTCGCTAACGGTAACTGCTACCGATGTGGTCCATATGAGTCCCCGGCTATCCAAGCGATGGAGTCACCATGTGACGCACTGACGCCAGGAGCCCCGAAAGTTTGTACTTGAAAGGAATAGACCGTCATCAGTACAGAGCTGCAGAGAGCCTTCTCCGTTATCCTATCTTCGAGTACCAAAGCCATGCAAACTACCGAGGTCCCGTTCGTGATCATCGAGGCTACCAAACTGTGCGTTTAATTTCCGCAGAGATCAGCACCGTATCCGTGAAGCATTACTTATGGAGAAACTTGGAGAGTTGATGGTAGAACTTATCTTTAACTGAGTGCGGGCTGCAATCCGTAAGAGCATACGCCGTTACGACAAACAAACTGCTTTCGGTAACCTAACCGAAACGCACAGAGTTGGCTATTAATTGGGATTCAGTCAGGCAGTGCAAATGCTACGCGCGCGCTTAACGCGATCCCCATGTCGTCCAAGCCCGCGACTTCAGCAGTTGCGTCTCCTGATAAGCGTAGAATGAATCTACCGTGAGAGCATGCAGAAGGTGTTGTTAATCGTAGGGTTGTGCTAGAGTCCAGCAAGCAGGTCCCAGCTAGGCAATATATGTCGATTGAGAGGGTTTCTAGAGTGCAAACAAGGGTTGCATGTGATCCTACTGCATCAGCGTCTGGACACTGAAAGCGGCCAACTTGAATTGGGAACAGGGGCTAGAAAGGCCGTGTCTTCGTGATCGCGTGGCACATAGACAGTCTTATGCTGTTCATCCACATGGTTAGACCTGTCCATCAAGGCAGCACGCTGTTGGAGACCCGAAATTAGAGGGGAATTCCCAAGAATTGGTGAAGGCAGCACATACGTAACAAAACTTACAGGACATGGTGCGGTAGAGCGTGGTCTAGCGGACCCAGCCTCCAGCACCTCGGACGAAGAAAGTGAAGACAAAGTGCGTAGCTAAAGAGCATAATTACGTAGGTTCGGGCTCATATTCATGTGTTGTGCGGACAGTGATCTTCCCGATTGCTAAGACTGAGGAAGAGGGGACCACACCCGGAGACTTGGGCCATAAAGATCAGCCCTACAAAGCAGTGGAGTGATTGGCCTGTATCGCAAGTCATTAAAAGTCGTAACACGACTTTCGAGTTGCAGTAACACACTCAGGACACCCAAACTGCCCACGTTTAGGGGTACATAGGTCAGAAAACTTTCCGGAATGTTTGGCCAGCACCGGAGCACGAGACCGTTGACAGCCATGTGGCTCATACGCCTTGTCAATGTTTGGTAGCAGTCCACACAGAACCCGATGAACAACAAAGTCTTCATGCACCTTCATTAAGTACTCACCTCCGTTTACAGTCATCAGTGCCTAGTGACCCTATAGCCGGTCACAGGGGTTTCGACGCAGCGAAGTACGAGTTCTTGTGGTATTTAATGGGAAGCGGGTGGCAGTCCAGAAATCCCCAAGCTCTGAGGAGTTGCCGCTGATTATCTGCGACTGCTCATTCCTCTCGCTTGAAGGGCAAACGAGATTTACGCACAATTACCACAAGCAAGGTGTTGCGGAACCCAGTACTTTGGGGACAAGCGTTTATTCGGTAAAGTTAACTTGACGAAAAATACAACAAGTGTGGCGACTGAACTCCTCGATATTAGTTGCACGAGCACATCCATAACTAACGACCCTTCTGAGTCGATGTGATTCCTCCTTTGACCCATGTAAACTAACGGTGAGTAACCACTATGAATGTCGGCGAACCGTGTCCAATAATCGTATCTGTTATGTCCGCCTTCCACTGCTTGCCTAGCTCGCTCGTTTAAACCATCAATTCACTTATATGACATTCCCATCACATCTCCCCTTTTCGGATTCTTGTGCTTCCATATTG